TCTCTGATCCATAAATTATTTAAAAACTTAATTATATTTCTAGTTTGATTATATTGTGGTCAAAGTATGCAATGTTTATAATAATTTAAGGTAGTTGACTTCCTTTGTGTTTTTATATACAACCAATTTTTACAAATGTTTTATATGTCTCAAAAAATACTGAAGATCCTATTTTTTTAGGTACAGGGTTCAGGTATGTGAAGTAGGTCAAGATTTTTAATTTTATTATTTAAATCTTCTACATTCTTATTATTTTTTTCCAAACTAGATATGAAATAATTATGTACTACTACTGTGGATTTGTGAGTTTCTCCTCATAATTTTGCCAATGTTTGCTTTCTATGTTAGGGGGCTATGGTGTTGGGTGCATGAGTTCATTGTTTTACATATACTTTTTGGAAATTATGCCTTTTGGCATTAAGTCATCTCTCTCTCTCTCTCTCTCTCTCTCTCTCTCTCTCTCTCTCTCTGTCTTAAATTTAATGTTAACTAGGAGTAATACTGCTGTACCACTTTTCTTTTGGATAGTATCTGGCTGTCTGGTGTTCCACGTCTTTTTTTTTTTCTTTTTTCTTTTTAGCTGAGCCATCCTGCCACCTGTTGGCAGCTCAGTGGCAACTTGGCTCGGGCCGGGCATCGAACCGCTGTTGCTCAGAGCTCACACTCTTGCACAAGCTCTTAACCAACTGAGCCACTTGGCTGGCCCTTGTCTAGTGTTCCATGTCTTCACTTTGAAATTTATTTTATCATTAAGTCATAGGTATGGCTCTTATAAATAGCATTTAGCCAGATTTTCTAAATTCAATTTAGAAAAATCTCTGCTTTTCAAAAAGTGAGTTTAATTCACTTGTAACTGACACATTCAAACTTATTTCTACCCTTTCATTTACCATATTCTGCTAACTATTCTCTTCCCTTCTCTTTCCTTTTACTACCTTGTAGTTGATTAAGTTTTCTTTATTCCTTCTTTCTCTCTTTATTCACTTGGAAATAATACAGTTTACAACTACTTCTTTAGGAGTTCTCTCAAAAAATGTTCTAAACTGAACAATATCTAATCTATCCTAATCTAATCTAATCTGATCATCTAATCTAATCATATC